CCATTTTCTTGCATCCTCAGCCAGGTCGGACTCCCTCACGCTGGTTTTCACGATCCTGTACCTCATGTCTGCAGGTAACTTCCTCTCATTGACCAAGTCCATGATCATGTCTGCTAGGCCTGACTTGTCAGAGATGAGTACAGGGATGCCTGCTGCGATGGCCTCCAGACCGATCAGTCCAAAAGGCTCGGCACGGGACGGCATCAGGACCAGGTGAGCCTGCTGCATGTCCTGAGCGATGTCCTCCTGGGTTCCACATGGCAGCAGCGTGGGTTTGATCTTACCACTGTGCAGGTTCTCCTCCAGGATTCTCTTGCTCGCTTCCCAGTCATCTTCATCTATCCCGCGAACACACAATCTGACGTTTGTGATCTTCTCTGTAACCTCGTAACCTAGGAACGCCTCTGAAAACATAACCTTCTTGGCGAAGGTAAAAAGACTACCGAGCTGTCCTGCCGCAAGGAGGCCACCTTACGGTGGGCGGACCATTCTACATCAGGCTTGTTACCTTCGCCAAGAATTGACGAAGGTTATGTTTTCTTGGCCGTGTGTCTGTGTGTCTGTCTGTCTGTCAATAGCATAACTCGAGAAAGCTTAGATGGATCTTGATATTTGGTAGGTGGGTAGGTCTTGATGAGACCTAGAAATGATTAGATTTTGGACCCCCTAACGGCTTGTTATGGTACTGCAGCTAAACTTCCGGTTTTGATATCTCATGATCTAGACATGCTGGGGTGACGAAATTTGAATGGTAGGTAGCTCTCATGCTGGGGAAAAACTGATATGACCCCTAGCGGCTTCCCCAGGAACTGCAGGGCTATCTGTTTGAAAATATTCAAAAGAGGATAACTCAAGAACCGGTGGACGGATCGTCATGATTTCTGGTATGTAGGTAGCTCAAGTGACGCTTGACATAATTATGTGACGATTATGCAAATCTGGATCTAATTTGCATAATTAATGGGGAAATTTTATAAATCAGCTGCATTACATTATAGGACTATTCAAGCTTGTGACATATGTAATTGAGAATGAGAGAAACACAGGCAGATATTGATTATGTAAATTAACACCTAATTTGCATAATTAATGAGAAAATGTTATAATTCCATAATGCTAACTGCCTGGAATTTCATACTTGGGGTATTTGAAAGTTAAGTGAAGGTGAATATCATTAAACATAACTTATTCAAATAAGGACCTCATTTGCATAATTTATGAGGAAATGATTGAATGGCTTTCTTTGTTAAGATAAGGCTGTCTTTTGATGGAGAATATGATCAACTATATAATACAATATTATAATACAATATTATAATATAAATATAATACAAATGAGGATCCTTTTTCCATAATCAGAAGGAATCATCTTTGTCAGTCATAAAGATTAACATCATTTGGCGAAGGTATGAGATAGTGGGACTCGTGAGGGACTAGTGGGGCTTGTCCGTGTGTAACATCAATACTCTTTTTATAATGTATCCTTTACTCTACCTTCTCGTCTTCCTTCTTTTTCTTCCAACTCGACTCTTCAGACCCGGAATCCTCTGACCCGGACTCCTCGTCTTCCTCCATTGTCTCCTGTTCTCTTCCGTCCATGGCTGGTCTGACCCTACAGATAGATACACACCACCTGCCTAGTGACACCTGTCGTAACTAAGACTAGATGGATCTAATGCTTTCCTGTAGCGCAAACACAGGACCACAAATATATCATTTCTCTCCCTACACAATATTATGGTAGTGGAACATCATACGGTACAGCGCCCTCAGGACATACCTGATTTACAAATTATTATGGCCTCTAAAGCGTTTCCGAACACTGTAGATCAAACTGTGCCAACAAAGGAGCGATAATTTCAAAACCATACAGACATAGCGTCAATACTTTCTAATTCATTCAACATGAACAGTTTATCTGTTTGCTAAAGGGCTGTGGTAAAAGTTTCTTTAGTTTGTGTACTTTAGGCGCTGCTACATCTGGCAGGTGCGCCGTTATACACCTGTTACTTCCGGGTTTACCTGAACTTTTCCAGAAGTGTCTTGGGAGAGTCTGACGACCTTTTCCCAGTCTTTAAGGTCTCTGCAAGGCTCTTAGTCTCTCCAGGAACCAAAGGCTGTTAGCTCTGACGTCACAAGACGTACAGGTGAGTTCTCACGGCGTCTTAAATACAGAGCTGGTCCGTTACGTCCGCAGGTGAGAAGGTCAAATAAGCTTCGGTAGGTCTCCCATGATTCGTAGCGCACGCGATGACGCACTCCGTAGTAACGGGGTGAATGACCTCAGGACGATTTGTCGGTATACTGGCTGTGGTTAGTGTGGGACGTGTATATCTTAGATCATTGTTAACCTTATATATCGTGTATATCTTAGATGAATGGTAACCTTATATATCGTGTATATCTTAGATGAATGTTAACCTTACGTAATACATACGCTCAGAACCCACACATTAAACACGTCCCAACATTTCAATTGTTTATCTCTATGTATTGATCTGCTTTTAAGCCAGGAAGTACTCAAACAAGGTTTTTACATTATTTTTCTAAGCTTCGTACAATTTCCATCTTATTATCTCAGTCTAGTTTAACAGTTGTATCAAGCATATTACATTATTTCACAAAAAAAAGGATAGAATACTTTATCTAGGGAATTATTGAGATAGAAGGTCACTATATCATTAATACACTAGATAGAGAAAATTAAATCTTTCGTGAGTTAATGGGATAGAAGGTATGAATTGTCTATGTAGTGAAACTACTTTCAAAATGAATTATTCGCAGTAAAAGGAGTTATCACCAGTTTTTCCACTTATCACGGGTTTTCAAATTGAATTTCCAATCTCAATTAAATGAATGTGATAAATAATCAAGTCTAATTGACAGAATTCTGTTCAATTCGTGCACGTTATGGAGAGCAGAAACGTATGGTGATACCTTGTGAAGAAAACGTTTTGTGCACAGAAAACGTTTCTAGTGACATTTCTAATACCCCGATACTATGTTTAGAAGCGTATAATTATATTTATACCGTATTTTTATTGGATCGCGATGTTTTACATTGTATCATACCAGGTATCAGAAGCATTAAATTCAAATCAAGTACAATTCGTACCTTGTCTAGCCGCTACTTGGCATGAAAACACCAGACCTAGTTGCTAGAACAAAGTTGAATCCCACCAACCTAGACTTTTATTACAACAGCTTGATCGGGAAAACCTGAATAGTGAGTTGCAACCAAACATTGTGGGATGTATGCAGTCAGTTTATTACCTCTATACTGTTTCACATGCAAACGTCCATGTTTATGATATACACGTGAGACTGTCTTTCATTCTCTCCTTATGATCTGCTATACGTAAAAAAGGCTGTTTTGAGTAACAATCCACAATAGGATGACTGGGGTAATGCCTTTTCCACTCCATGTACGAACATGTGTACATACATGTTGGTAGACGTCATTAGAAGAAAATTTAAACGGTAATTTCCAACACAAGACATTCTACTTACCCAAATGTTTCACTGTACTACTCCAGTCTTTGCACGAGGTATTAAAGAGGCCATGTACATCCAACCATTACAACCCTCCTTCAACAAAGACGGGGGGCGGTACAGACTTTCTGCAAGTCAAGATCCACTGCTCACCAAGTCACGTGTGTCATCTGTATAACGTGCGTGACGTCACAGAAGTGGTGGATTGTTCATTCCTTGACAAAGGCTGGAGTTGTACAGTCAAACCTTTTGGTCCAATTTCTTGTGTTGGAAATTACAGTTTAAATTTCCTCATAATGTGTATAAACATGTTTGTATCAACCGTGGACGTCATGTCAGGTTCCAGTTACTCCTTTGCCTCATGTTTGGCGACATTCGTGTACACCGCAAAATAGTTACCCATTCAATCCATAACAGAAGCATGAGAGAGAATATAATCAGGTTTATCATGATTTGTAAACAAATGAATTTGACTTGACGTGTCTTCAAATAGCAATAACAGCATTAGGGACTACCCACAAGTCATGAATATAGCGTCCTCAAGAATTCACTATACACTTTTAAGGTCTGTCCATAAATCAGTGATGAAGATACCTTGAGAATGACCTGAGACCTTACCTGTATCTAAGATGGAGGTAGGACATTGACGTTTAAATAGCACCAGTTAAAGAGATTACCACTAAGTACTCCAGATTTTTTTAAATCATTGTTTTACCACTATAAGATGGGTGAATAATACAAATCCGTGTACTGACGTCTATCGTACACATGTCACAGGACAACGATTAGGAATTATAGTTTGATAAATAATGAAAAGTAAAGACAGATTTCCGTAATCTAACTACTAGTAACTCTTTTGAAATTAAGGTACATGTTGTCTACGCAACTAAGGCTCATTTTCTTCTTGCTACAGCCAAAATATAGCCTGAGTCATTACTATTTCGCTGTACTTTTTTACCTTGTTATAATTTTTAGAATTAGGGATGAAATGAGTACATACTTAACCTCATTACATATTAATAATAGGGTATTCTACGACATTCTTTTAAACTTATGCCCGTGTGCTACCCCATACTTGGGAGGTTCTGTTTCATGGTAGTAGAACAGGGGCATGGGGCAGCGCACGGTATTGCCCAAATGTCTACCCTGTAAATATAACATCATGTCGTTTTTACATGTAGCACCACAAGTGACAATAAGGATGCACGGTGAATATCAGAGTACCTACTGGTCCATACATTCTGCGATCACCACTATCTAGTTCCTATTATAGTAAAGAATGTCACACACATGTATGGATTATTACAAACAAGCAGCAAGATCTGGTAAACAAAGCAGCTTGCCATAACAACTCTATTGTGTAAACTGGGATCTAAGCTCTTGTTGGAAAAGCTTACTTCCATGACAGAAAATATCATAGTTTAAATACAAATATTCCAAATCTTATCAACAAACTTAGTATCTCAGTATAATACTTAAGAAGTTGTTTTACCCTTGCCAGTTCCTATCATAACATGACCAATTTGTACAATCTGTGAACTCTTGTACAACTGAGCCTAATTCTTACTACTTCATGTGTCCAGTTGTAGCTATATTAATGTTGATCCAACCCATGAAGTTCTGATACCCTTCTTACTTCAAGGTAATCACTGCTGCACACGTGTTGACAAACACAGCCATTGGTTACATGTGAACAACTATCCCCCCCACATACAAACTCTGCACCTGCCGATTCTCATTTCTATGTCATTGAGTTGTAAGCCGACTTTGGGCATCTCTGTAACGTAGCCACTGGTAGCTTCGTAGGCGGCGGGGTTCTGTTCGGGGGTGTAGAAGTCAGGTAAGGACGCCAGCCAGAAGCTGAACTTGTTGGCGAAGAAATGGCAGGTTCCCTGGGCTCCGTGGCACTCAACAAACGGCGCTGGGCGGAACTTCTCCAGACAACTGCCGGGGCTGTGCAGGGCCTGGCCCGAACCCTCACCTGCCGCCGTGTGCTGGGAGAGGGAACACGGAAGGATGTGTTATTCCGCAAATTCCGTTTATTCTTACTTGAACACATCCATATATAATGGTGACCAGCCCTTCCAACTCTGTCCTGCCACTTGCTACATAATGCAACCTAACACCACAGGCTCAGCTACAGCACCAGTTACCACGTTGAGATTGAATATCAAAGTTCTTTTTGCAAAATCACCTACAAGAACATCATCTTCATCAGGGCTATAATGAGTGGGTCGCTGAAGCTAGGTATTACTGGTTTACTTGATTCCAGCTATAGCTATATCAATATGGGTCCAACCCATGAAGTTCTGATACCCTTCTTACTACTACAGGTGTTGACAAATACAGCCATTTGATAGGTTTCATATGAACATGGATATGAACGTTGGTGACATACCATGAGGAAACTGTAGCCTGTCCAGACGTTCATCCAGCCCATGGGACAGTCAGGGATGGTCGGAGCCTGGCTGTGCACAGCCATGACCACAGATTTGGTTTCACACACCACACACCGGCTGATGATATCCAACATCCTAACGGAACAACATATGTTTCAATCAACAGAATGCGACAAATAATGCGGCAATATTCTGATTTACATTTCATAATAATGTTTACCTTCAAATTGTTCAATGTGTTTAAAGAAATTGATGACTCTCGGTGGCCAATGTGCAGATGTTGTCACATCGACGCACCAAATCCGTAAGGTGTTTTTGGCACCTAGACAGACAGATTAGCCTAAGAGGCTCGGTGGGCGTCACTCCACCGTATAGGTGGGGAAGTCGTGTTAAGTGCCTTTCCCAAGGGAACAACGTCGGGCTACGGTGAGTATCGAAGCCGGGACCTCTCGGTTCCGAGTCCAACGCTCTAACCGTTTCGCCACCGACGCCATGTGTTTTAAAACACAGTCATAACGGTGACCAGCCCCTACAACTGTCCTACCAGTTGCTACATAATGTAATCCAACACCACAGGATCTACTACAGCACAAATATCATTTGCTTTACCTTCTTCCTTTCAAGGGTTTGTCTGGAAGATCTCGTTGGGTGGCGACAGTGGAGAGCCAATAGGATTTGTCGTCTCTACTGGCAAAGTTGCACATGAAGTTGATGTCACAGAAGAGGAATGGCATTGGACTGAACTTGGGAAGACATGATCCTGACATACCTGGGGGTGCACAAAATATGAATTTGAGTTGGGCAAGAAAGAGGCATTAAAATGCAACTAAATGAGTATGTCATCACAATTAATCAATCCAAACATTAAACTGATCATACAGTCATTTGTATGGAGGTAACAATGGAGGTTTTTCACACAAAGACACACCAAAAACAATATCTCTATTTTCATGGAGGTAACAATGAAGGTTTTTCACACATAAAACAGTGCACCCACCTAAATCCTGTCCATGTGCTCTTTCATTGCCCTCCATGTGTAACAAACTATATCCTTCCCACATCTTCTTGGTACCAAATGGACACTCTGGTACCTGAATGGTCTGGCTGTGACGAGTTATGAGGTACATGTTTGTACCAGCTTCTCCAGGGTAACCTGTTGAAATTTAAATATCACGTCTGATTCAGTGAAATGGTACTAAATATTATCATCATTTTCCAGACTCTTTACAGAGATGGGGCACATTTGTCCTTTCCATGTAGACTTGTTTCAGGTTTTTTTTTTTACTGAGGTAGTAGCAGTCTAATTCATTTATGTGAAAGTTTACATACATGTGCAACACTGCAGTACGCATTGAAACAGATAGAATGTGCTTCTGCTGATTGGGGATAGTTACAGACATTCCTTTTGCCAAAGGGGGTCATAAATTAATTTAGAAAGCACATTCGTGAAAAGTGAGGTGGTATGGACTTATGTGCCAATACTTGGTTACACCGTTTTGTTTAAGTGCATGTGATAAACTTACCCATGTCTCCTTTAACACCTGGAAACCCGGGAGCACCTGGCAGAGAAGAGAAAAAAGACAGATAAGTAAAATTTGAGAAGCAATGCATAATGTTTACCTCCACTAGCCCAACAAAGTACTACTCTGTTTATTCTTACTTAAACACATTCATATATAAAGGTGACCAGCCCCTCCAACTCCGTCCTGCTACTTGCTACATAATGTAATCCAACACCACCGGGTGTCTGCTACAGCACCAGTTACCATGTTGACAGCCGTTTGCTCCAGGGCACCTTACGTATTTGTTTGTAGCGGAAGAAGAGCAAGAAGGAGAAATGGAGCGAAACAATTATGTTTCCTTCTGCAAATTCAAAGGTAAACATAATGAATATTGTGCATATGGTTAAACATTGGATTCTAATATGGTGCACCAAACGGCCGAATACATGTAATACAATTCTGTAACATACATGCATACATACATACATACATACATACATATACATACATACAAGCAAACATATCCCTATACATACCTGGAAGGCCTGCCTTGCCCGGAGGTCCTGGAAGCCCATATCCCTGGTCTCCTTTCTGACCTACAGGATAGTTGTTCAACACATACATGTTGGTATTTTGAACTGAAGCACAAAGATATTGTGGACAAATATGTGGGCAGATATAGAACAGTACATTGGCATGGGTCTGTGTACAAGGCATGATGAACCGTAGCTTAGTGGTATAAAATGATACATAAACAAGATCTAGTCTTAAATCTTTATAATTCTGCATGTTGTTGTTTTTCAATAGACTCTCTTACTTTCAAACAAAAAAAATAGATGAAAAATAGATTTCTGCAGCAATAGAATTAAGCAGGTTGCAACAGGAAAGATCTGTGTTATGAACACTTATGTATATACTGGGCAGCAAATCTGGATTTTCAAAGTCAATTTTCTGATCATTCTTTTATGTAGTAAGTTGAATCAATCATATTCCATAATATGATGACGTCTATGAGGCAAAATGCGCTGATGTTGCTGACGGAAAACTGTTGCTTATTTTGTATCGTAAGCTGGTTCTAGGTATTATGTGGTGTCCAAAAAAATTAAGGAAGACATGCCTGGCGTGCTTGTCTCGGTGCCGTTTCAAATGCTTCAGGTGTGAAATTATGTACTATCAGACAGATTTCCACATCCATTTATATTTTTGTTTTGCCGCCCCGACATTGCATTAGACGCCTTTAAGTTAGCTCTTGAGATGATGAAAGGTGAATCACAACGTTCAGTCCTCAGGACTCACACAGCCCTTTCTAGTAGTGTGCACGTCGGGCGAGCAACATTGGCTAGGATTTTAGCTCTAAGAGGTCCAGAAGCAAAGTTTCTATCCATTGATCCGCAAAACATCTACAGTTGGCGCACCCTTTGTTATGGGTTCACCACACCACGAAGAACCCATATTGCTTTTTCTGATGTTTCTTCTCCTCCTTCTCCTTCTCCTCCTTCTTCTCCTGCCATTTTTTAAATGGATTCAGCTTCTTCATTTTAGGGCCTAAGGTCCTGAAATTTGGTATGGAGGTACAGTGGGCAAATACCCCTAGGCGTTTTTTAAATTTTTGTGATACAGGCTTTTAGAATGATTTTATTTGAGTTTTTTGGCTGTGTTATAGCAAATGTATTACTGTGTTAGTGTGCCGTGTTTACCACGTCTGGGCATGAATCATCACAATGGAATGCAGGGCATCAACCAATAGGCATGCAGCTTTCCTCTATACTTCTTGCTGATTGGCTGTTGGGATTTAACTCGATTAACACCTGCACAGAGCATTTCCACCTGCACAGAGCATTTCTTGCTGATTGGCTGTTGGGATTTAACTTGATTAACACCTGCACAGAGCATTTCCATACTGACAGTATGTCTTTATTCAAGTGTTTTGGTAGGTATTTCAAGCTTTTCTGCTCCAGCATTGGAATGCGGGGCATGAACGTTTTTTTATTTATTTTGAAAATCAACAGTTTGCATTATGCAATTAAAAATCCTAACCAATAAAGTAGGGAATAGCTATCCAACTGTTGTTTTAGTTGTATGTTACTTCATTACCTTCGCCAAGAAGGTTATGTTTTCAGGGGCGTTCGTGTATGTGTGTGTGTGTGTCTGTCTGTCTGTCAACACGATAACTTAAGAAGGCCTTGATGGATTGTCTTGATACTTGGTAGGTGGGTAGGTCTTGATGAGACCTCAAAATGATTAGATTTTGGACCCCCTAACGGCTTGTTATGGTACTGCAGCTGAACTTCCGGTTTTGATACTAGTATCTCATGATCTAGACATGCTACGGTGATGAAATTTAGATGGTAGGTAGCTCTTGTGCTGGGAAAGAAGTGACGTGAGTTAAGGCCCCCTAGCGGCTTGCTCTGGAACTGCAGGGATAAATTCTTGAAAATATTCAAAAGGGGATAACTCAAGAACCGGTTGACGGATCGTCGTGATTTTTGGTATGTAGGTAGCTTACGTGATGCTTAATATAATTATGTGTCAATTATGCAAATATTGATGTAATTTGCATAATTTATGGAAAAATTCTATAAATCAGCTGCATTCAATAATAGGACAATTAAAGCTTGTGACATTGGTAATTGACAACGAGAGAAACACAGGAAGATATTGATTATGTTAATAATGACTTAATTTGCATAATTAATGAGAAAATTTTATAATTATGTAATGATAACTGCCTGGAATTTCATACTTGTGGTATTTGAAAGTTAAATTGAGGTACACATCATTAAACATAATTTATTCAAATCAGGACCTCATTTGCATAATTTATTAGGAAATGCTAGAATGCATTGTTTGTTAATATATGACTGTTTTTTGGTTGAGATTATTATAAAATGATATAATTCATGAAAATTAGGTTCCTATTTCTTAAATCAGGGGGAATAATCTAATCTATAATTTGTCAGTCATAAAGATTAACATCATTTGGCGAAGGTATGAGATCGGGGAACTCTAGTATTATAGTTATATCAATGTAAATCATTGTTTTCCCTTGTGTTTCTCATTCTTTCCCTGCCATGTCGTAAAATGTGGTGAACCCATCGCTGTATTTGCTCCAAAGCAAATATTGGCCTTTCTAGTTGTTAGATCTGTTTTATATTATAACTACTGCTATAATTTTTTTTACTGTTTCTAGTATTATTTATACCTATGTTATCGTAGTTATTACAGTTGTTTTATTATTTAATTTTTAGAATATTGTTAGTGATTATTTGTATTGGTTACTACTTGTATTTTAGATTTATGTATATTTTTATCTGGACAGGGGGCATGGAAAAGCCTCTACCTGTTCCCCCTGCCCTGTCCGTGCGACAAAGTTCAAATAAATATATAAACCACTAGACCATGTATGCTACACTATAGAGAGGGGCCTCTATCTGTCACATATTATACGAGCCAAGACCAGAAAAAATGACTTGACTTATACAGCACAATGGAAGAGATCCCACCCCGCTATGGTAAGTGTACCTGGCAGTCCTGACGGCCCCTGTAGGCCGGGCGGACCTGGCAGACCGATGTCTCCCTTCCTGCCAAACCCTGGTGCTCCAGCTGGACCTGAGCATAACAGCAACTCACGTTACATATTACATCTTACATGTACACATTACACCATACACATCACATTACACCTCACTTTACACCTCACATTACACCTCATATGACACATACATTACACCTTACATTACATACACATTACACCTCACGTTACACCTAAAATTCCACATTTGTTTGTTTGTTTAGGATCTCCCTTGGTGTGAATTTTCACACTTTTCTTCCTGTAGTCCGTAGGGAATCATCGGATTGCATCTTACATTTACATAGTAGACCACACACCTCACATTACACGTCACATTACCTATTACGTCTTACATATACACATTACACCTCACGTTACACATTACACCTCACATTGCACTTTACACCTCACATTGCACTTTACACCTCACATTACACTTTACACCTCACAACACACTTTACACCTCACCTTACACTTTACACCTCACATTACACTTTACACCTCACATTACACTTTACACCTCACATTACACAATATACCTCACACCTCATCACACACCACATTACACATCACATTGCACTTTACATCTTTTTTATTTTATTTTTATTTATTTATTACAACTTTATTACAACAAATGTGTAAATGGATAGAGTAACAGGATCATTTTTAAAAACCCCACCAAAATAAACTGATAAGGATTACATAAATAATAATCAAAATAAACAATAACAAAAAAGTCATGACAACCCTTGATACAAGGATGATGACAAAGAATTAACAAATCATATAATGAACGTTGAAGTAAATAGAACGAAAAGCCAACGATGAATAATAGATCATTCGATAAGTAATACATAACAGGTCCAGCAACAGTACATATACATTGTACACATTACAACTCACATTACACATTAGATCTTACATAAATACACATCTTACATAAACACACATATTATAAAAGTTGTTGCTAACCTGCGGGACCGGGGAGGCCTGCGTGTCCCTTGGCCCCCGGGAAGCCTGGCCGCCCCTGTTCGCCTGGCAACCCGGGCTGACCCGGCTGACCTGCAGGGCAATAACATCTGTTACAGCATCTCAGCAGTCGGTTACGTAACTACACCTGGTAAAACCTCATCACTAGGTTTCCAGTACGAAATATTTGCCAGTACTACGTTTCCAAAGCCAAGCTTTCCTCAAAACAGGTGGTGGTGGGGGGGGGGGCTTGAAGAGTAGAAAGAGTAGAAACTGGCTAAATTGAGATATAACATGCCATGTAAATCGGTCCACTAGATAGTAGTTTACAAACTGTACTCGCTAGTGGGCCAACTCCCTGGGCATGTTATCTCTCTATTTGGCCAATTTCTACTCTTTCTACTCTTCAAGCCCCCACCACCACCACCACCACCGAGAAGCATGACTTTTCAGTTTGCTAGTCCCCATTAACAGGAACATGATCGTAGAAGGTTCTAAATCAGTCTACAATGTATACATAGACGCTGGGCCTTACCTGGGATGCCTATCCCCTTGTCACCTTTGAGTCCTGCAAGCCAAGAAAACATAGAATCAATCATCGTTGTACATTTTGCACAATTATGGTACAAATTCTGAATAAATTATATTCAAGATACTATCATATTATGAAAGATGTAATAATAATAATAATTGTACGGCTCTTAGTGGCAAATGTTCAGATCTTGTCACATTGGCGACACCAAATCCGTCTGTGTCCTCATCAGTTATTGGACACAGTATCGTGATCAACGATTAGCCGGAAGGGCCGATGGGGATCACATGTAATAGACCATTGGAAGTATGATATAATTCAAATGTTTTGAAAGCAAATAACTGTTAAGGTAGCGTCTTAGAGACCACATATATCCGTCCCCGTGAAATATGTATCTATCAAACAAATCTTATGTGCAAAAACAGCTAGTGATCTTTGAAACACACGGCAGATAAACGTAATTCATACAATTATTACACACAACTTTATTATATATTGGAAAAATGGGTTCACATAATAATATGGGAGTAATGAACCAGTTAAGGTTATTGTTGACAGTGTGGTCACCTGGCTGTCCTGGGTCTCCAGGCGGCCCTCGGGCTCCTGTCAACCCTGGGGACCCGTTTAGACCTCGGTCTCCTTTCACGCCTACAGTTAAATAAACAAGCAAATACACAAATAAGCAATGGATGCATTTTTGCACACTGTGATAAGCAAGTCCGGATGTCTGTTCATTTTTTTGACGTTAAATATTATTAGAAAAGCTTAAAAATATTTTAACATGAATAATGACAATTTGCAGCATTTCCAAAATTCATATTTTTTATATCATCATGAAAGTTCATCTGTGTTGGTAGTAATCATGGTTAAGTGTAGGACTTAATTTCAACACAAGTCCAGAGAGATCAAATTTTCAACGACCACTGTCGAATTCATCAGGATAATTAATGACCATTCACTTTCGAACGTAATCTCGCGAGAGTTACGGTTACAGACACGTGATGTTATTCAAGCGAGACTTAACGGGTGCGTGACGTCAGCAATCGATTAAACATGCCAAGTAGTTTATATCGTCCACCGTCTCTATCAAGTGATGGCTGGAGTGCCCCGATATATATGAGGCCCTTTATTTGTTGAAAATTTGATTTCTCTGTACTCGTTGTGTTGGAATAACGTTCATCATTTTACTACCATATTTTTACCATTTTTTAATAATTGAAAACCTCCACTTACCTGGGAAACCGTCCCGACCTGCTTCACCAGGTGGACCTTTAAACACAAAAACACGTGACTTGAGAATCACAACCAATCACTGTAACAAACACTTACCTACCTAAAACGTCTGACGTATGTTTGATTTAATTTTAAAAAAAATAGTCATTGTTAACAAACTTCAGTGATGACTAGATGATGCAACATTACACTAATTATGACTTATAACTGTTATATTCTCAGTTATAAGTAACAACCTTCATTTGGCCAATCAGAGTTCCAGCACGTTTTGATAAGTTTATCTAGTATACTACAATGTACTTCTCATGCCATTGTCTTTGAATTTCAATACCAAAGAAAACATTTGTGCTCCACCCACCTCTTAATCCAGGCAGACCAGGAGGGCCCTGCTGACCTGCAGTGAAGGAGAAACATGTTAAATAATAAAGTCAAATAAATAACGTTATGTTAGAATTCCAATCTCTCCTCAATCTAACAAAACTCACATGAAGTAAAGTGCTAGACTTTTTAAATTTAACTTCATGCCACAGGTACCGGAGGGAAAAATATTGTTTTTCCCTGATGATGACAAATGGCAAATTTGTATGAAAGCCTTTAAGAATCTTTTATATACATATAGATAATCCAATCTATATGGAGCGCACAACGTAATAAAGATCTAGCAAAGATGTTGGAAGCGCATGGCGTAGTAAACATCAATACGATATTGGGACACAATGGAAAATGCAAGGAAAATTTGAGTTTTAGAAGCGTTTTGTTGCGGTGATGAATGGATTACAACGACAAAACATTTAACTTGGCAATGGGTGGATACAGAGGAGGTAGGGGTGTATCCCAGAATACAATGCGGTCACAGGGAAGGTCAAAGGTCACAGGGAATTCTGGGATACGCCTTCTACATCCTCTGCTGGGATAGATATAAGAGTTGACTGACCTGGCAGCCCTCCTTGCCCGGGCTCTCCCCGGTCTCCCTTGACAGTTATTCCTGACGGTCCAGGAGCGCCCGGCAGCCCCGAGTCACCTTTATCACCGCGAGGTCCCAGTGGGCCGGGTGGACCGGGTCTGCCTTCAACTGTGCAGCAAATACATGGTTAACAGTGAAGACCATTATTGTACATTTTCGCCGCACTGGGCTATACAGGTCAGTAGTAATATTAGAAATATATAAAGCTGTGTGGTTAGTTAGAGTTTGTTTGTTGAAGGGCCATAAGGAATATGAATTTCTCTGCACTAATCATGTATTTTTATGGGTGAATTCAGACAGAGATGTACACAATTAGATGCATATTACATAAGATAAAAATTGCATGAAAAATGAGATAATCTATAATTCCAGTGTTTTACATGCACATGATGGGACTATTAAATTGATAACGTTACATGATTGTTACAAATGTAATGCATGACAGGTGGGATATTAACAGGTACACATTTTGCAAATAAGGGGCTAATTTGCATAATTAATACGAAAATTACATGGTTTTCTAGTTGTAAATTATGGAACTTTGATACTTGATTCGTGAATCCCTAAGCAGAATTACCCAACCAATCAAACACAATCTTACACTCACTCATTGTTATCAATTTGTAATAATTATACAATAATGATGATTGTTGCAGACTTACTTGACTGTCCCGGTTGACCTGGTAATCCTGGATGACCTGAACACCAAATGCATAAGCAACACTCATATATAAACTGATAACAATAACAATAGGGTAGAAGCATAGACATATTTAAGATATATTGGGATATACTGGCAACATTATTCACTAAAACGCAGCGGTTATTATGTTAGATTCACGCATACCTACTTTGCTTTATGCTAAATGAAAGCCTTACTTAAAATGAGCCAACTATGCTCTACATTCAATTTGAGTTCCGTACGTAAGAACTGCGCATGCATGATATGAAAACGGCCAATTCTCATTGCAACTCAAAGTTGCTGTTACACAAGTGCTTCCAAAAATACTGACAGAAAATCAAATGTACAAGTAACGAAAAGGAATACACATAATGTACACATGTAGATATACTTCGTGTGATGCGAATGTATTCAACATTTAATCCAAATACGCATATCTTTGCAAAGCTATACCTCCATTTGGTCATTTTCAACTGGAGAAATTCTCAACACTCAAAAAATAAGTACAAAACGTTCTGAATGCTTACCTTTGTCACCCTTAGGACCCTGTAATGACAAAAAAATGCAATTAGTTTTCATATCCATAATCAACGTTATCTTTTATAATGTAGGAAAAGATGACCAATGTGTTTGTACATAATTCATACTTACACACAAACCAGGCATACCCATAGGTCCCTGCTCACCAAGCATCCCCTACAAAAGAACAATAAAACATCATCATGTGGCTTGACGAACCTTTACATTGTTTGGAAACTGTCAAGTCCATTGTAATTTTATTTATTATGTCTCGTCTTTACTACCAGTACTGCAATACTGCCATGTCCTTTGTTCTATATGATAGCACAAATCACGTCAGCAGAACTTACTGTGCCTGTAAGAATATATTATGCATAGCACTTCGGCGGAACGTCACATTATAGCTTGTTTATGGTTGTATTTGCGTATTTAAGGATGAGATCCCGTCTAAAGCTTTCAAATGTTGTATCGTCTGCAACAGACAAAATTCTGATGCAACGTTGACGAATAACCAACTATCCAACGAAAAACATATTAAAAATCCGGGTTTCGCGCAGGCGTTTTATGCTATATTATGACACCATGTCAACATTATGGCTTGTTTCAGCAGTCAAAGGTCAATTTGAAAGTTCCTCTGCACCACCAATCGTTATCGGGCGGCGCCAAACTTTCTTCAGGAATTTCGAAACAACTATAACGTGAGTAACTACCACATGTGCAGCCATATATACTTTTGGCAATCATAACACTAATGACAGAGAAGGTAGAATACTTATCCCACAGTTCCCCGTGACCTTTGACCCCCAGTTTGAATGTTTCATGAAAATACAGACGGGGGCGACACAGGTCCGATTGTGTTGACATGCGTTCAACTGATCATGGAACTTCCGGTCAACCGTATATATGTTTGGTAGACAGGAAACCGCAATGTATTGTGGGATATGCCTTCTACATCCTCTGAGTAATAGGAAACTGAGAATCAAGTTGATCTTTTTTTTCAGCTTAAACATTGTAGAATTAAAATCTTGTGAAAGAAAATGAGAAATTCATTTGTGTGCGGCCTACCGGTTCTCCTGGTATCCCGGGTAAACCCTGCATTCCCTGTGATAAACAAATACCCAGGTTTAATGTACAAAACAAGAAATCAAAGTTTTTTAAACAGAGTTCTGAAGACATGAATTCCCCAAGTTTGCAATTCTGTTCGTATTGACGTTCTATGACGTTGTATTTAGCACCTCAATAACCCGTTGTTCAAATAGAAAAATGTAGGTGAACGAAACTAGCGTTAGCAGGAAAAAAAGGATTTCGAGCCCTGTCACACCTGTGCTATATCAAATAGACATCATTAACAAATTTCCAAAACTTAAAGCTTTTTTATCTTCTATATTGAATATGGTGACTGTACACGTATGACAGAAATATGAAATACACCACAATGTAGCACAAATAGAACAAACCAGCCTGTGCCTGTGAAATAAAATACATTGCTGCTGTTTGTGCACATTTACTAATGAGTTTAAACCTTTTTTCTTTGAAATTGAAAAATAAGAAAATATATATTGCCTTTCAAATGCAAATGCAGGCCTTGCCTGCTCCGTCAATAGACTAAATGACCGAAAGTTGCCTTAAAACCAATTCCCTATGGACTGCATTTTTAAAATTCTTTCAAAGCGATCTTAGTACTGCCCCTGAGGCGTAGCCAAAAACATAAGAATTCTTACCCGTAATCCTTTCTCCCCGCCCTTGCCGGGTAAGCCTTGGTCGCCCTTGAAGCCTTTATCCCCCGGCCGACCAGCCGGGCCTTCAGGCCCACTTGGCCCTGGAGGACCCTACATGTGACACGGGAAAAGTATAGGTAAAAATGTTGCAATTGGCACATTGGCGCACCAAATCCGTAGTGTGTTTTTGGCCCCTTTTTTGACAGATTTTCCTAGAAGGCTGGGTGGGTGACACTCCATCGTACAGGGAGGGATGTCGTGTAAGTGCCTTTCCCAAGGCCACAACGTCGTGGCATGGTGAATATCGAACCCGGGACCTAATGGTTCCGATTCCAACGCTCTAGTCCTTGCGCCACCGACGCACCGAAGTATAGGCGACCAGACACAAAATACTGCGCTTTTGATGGATTTTGTTAAATTGTTCTTTTTTCATTTTCCATAGACCACAATATAAACATTGATAAGTAAATAAATATGCAACATCTAATATCCAAATGTCAAACATTACCATACCAACAATTTGACAGTATAATTTGTAACCATGAGAGGTTACGCATGACTCTCATGTGAATGTCAGTCATTGTCAACGTGTTGAAAATGAATTTCATTTTCCAATGACCTGTCCAACCTATACTGCAGATAGACGACAATTAATGAATGTGGTCACGTGTAAGACTAGCAAACCAAAGACAAACAGAGACATTTTCAATCTACTCATGCCATTCCCCGACCCAATATCTACGTCCTTAGACCAGTACATACGTAGTTCTTTGTTTGATTAAAGGGCGATATATGAAACTACCTGTGTCGGAGAGAATTTGTAAATATTGCTCCTCAAATGCAGTGGAAGACGAAATTCATTTCATCTCTGACTGTCCATTTTATGACGACATCAGAAATCAATTATTTACCACCGTGTCCAAAATGCTGCCTTACTTCCCCACCATTCCCTACCACAAAAAAAGCAATTTTACTACTAAAATCAAAGAAGTGGGTAAATTCGTCTTCCATTGCCTAGTCAAACCCAGTAAAACTAGTGTCATGTCATGTTGTAGCATAGTATAATGTTAGAAGTAGTTATAGTCTCACATTTCACTGTATTTTCTTTCTATGTTGTTTGTAACTGCAATTAGCCCTCGGGCAAGTATTTGCAATAAACTTTCGTTATATTTATAAAGAGAGAATGAATTATGACAGACAGAAATGTTATAACATCATACATCATATCAATACGCCGTCTACACCCATATTCCTGCATTCATAGTTCTCTAGAGTAGACTAGTATTCTTTTATTGATTACATTGTCGTTGTTGCCGCACCCTGTATATATATACAACTGTCAAGCAATAAAGTCCATACATTCAAAATGACAAGAAAACATTACAAGTAAGTATTATATACTCACTGTAGGGCCTTGTGGTCCTCTTAATCCCTGTGGAGATAATAACAATGATAGAATATCAACTACAGACCTCAGTGTTTGAGGGTAAAGCTAATTATGATGATACTAATGACCTCGGAGGTCCTATATTATAAACTTTATTGACACAACAAAAGCACAGCCACTTTCATAAGGTCTATAATTAGACATACAGACACGTGGGTACAAAAGAATTAACATAACGTACAAGACTTGGAATGTGAATCAATTTTTACTACTTTCTAAACATTGAAGACTTTCTTCGATATATTTACCTATTTGTCACAGTAAGGGTTCTTACCTTCTAAAATGAAGTTAAATTTACCTATAACATGAAATGTATCACGTTCTGTTGCCATTATGGATTGTCCACTAAATGATGATAAACGCACAAAGCTGGTCAACCTTTATGTTCGCTTGATCAACAGAATAAAATGCCGTTCATCTCTATAGTCCTGACCTGGTGTCCCTTCATGCCCTGATCCCCCGGCAGTCCCGGCATCCCCATGTCTCCTTTTGGTCCCTGGATTCCCTCCGGACCTCCAGGTCCGGGCAGGCCTCTGGGTCCTGGGCCTCCCTGGAAAGGAACAACGAAGTGCACAAGATATGTACACACTAATAACCTGAGTAATCAGCCCGGGTACGTTATATGAACGAAAAATTTAACCATCCATATCAATAATATACAGAAAGTGAGCTCATGATATTTTTTTTAACTGTTCTGTGTTTTGTTGTCTTTGATATTTCTTTTTCTTTCTTTCTTTCTTTCTTTCTTTCTTTCTTTCTTTCTTTCTTTCTTTTCTAATTATCCAAATTGCAACCGCAATACACGCGGATCACTAGCCAGCAAATTTAACTGATGCTGTGCTCCACAAAACACTACACAGAACAATGCGTCTTTTATATCGTACTTTTCGTTCCCAAAAGCTGGCTGACCGGCCACTTGTGGGAATTGTGGTCTCAGCATAAGAAGACTTTATTTCAAGCTAAAGAAGATTGTGGGACCTACCCGTGGTCCTCTGGGCGCTGGACACATACAGCCACAGCCACATCCGGCTCCTCCCTGACCTGCTCCAGAACACTAAACACACAACAACAACAAAAACATCAAATAGACAAAGTCTGGCCAACAAAATTTGCCTGTTAGCATAAAATAAACTGAATAAACCACCGAGTGAGTGAAGCGGTTTATTCGGTGGTTATCACACCTGACCATGGATTATCTCACCATATACACAGAGGATAAGGCGGGGCAATTACACAATTATCATATAGCCTATCCAACTGACACAAGTTATCGTGAGACGTCACCCGGCTATATGATAATGAGAATTTAGCTCAAAGAAATTGACTCACTGGAATTTGCAACAGAATTTCTCTTCATCAGGTTTATGACCCAGGTGCTGTAGACACGTGATTTTTCCACGTGTGACATCAGCACTGAGGTTAAAGTTCGCCCAAGTCAAAATGCAAAAAAATGCAAATTGCAGTCTGCCCACAATCATGAATATCACTCGCCGTGTTAAAGGCATCCATTGCAATTTCAGGGCGGTAAAACTGGATGTTCAAAGTCAATTTTCTGGTCATTCTTTTAATGTAATAGATTGAAAGAAACTATGCCATAGCATAACGATATTTGTGAGGCACAAATGGGATGTTGCATGTTTTGTATCGTTGGGTGGTTTTAGCTATTTATGGGTAGAACACATGAAATAAACAGATGCTTCACATAGCTTGTTTTGGTGCTATTTCGAATGCTTCAAAAGTAACAAATTTGCTAACAACGGCAGTAAATGTCAATATCAGACAGATTTTCTCATCCAGAATATTTTTGCCCTGAAATTACATTGGATGCCCTTAAAAAATACCAGCAGGAAAAAAATTGCTCACTCACGTCAAGATCGGCCTGGCCTCCTCCAAATCCGCCCACATCATAACCATCTCCTTCTGCCCCTGTCAACATAAAATTTATATTTAAAGTTCCTTCCCGCACGAGCACAGAAAGCAGTATGTACCATTTTAAAGTCTTTGGTATAACGACTCGGCCGGGGATCGAACTCACGACCTACCGAATACAAGGCGAGCACTCTACCCGTTTGGTCATTGCACCGGTTACCGTCAACACGAGAAAGAGACTTATTCCAGACCTGAGAACACTGGTAACATGTAAATCAGTGTCTCACGGTATCATGATGAATGCAAGAAGTAGATGTTAGCCTAGACACCAGCGTCTGATAGCCTCGCCATCAGTCTTTTCCAGCCAACGCTTTTTCTTCCTCAGACGTCTCAAACACTTTCACCTGGACATCGAAGACCTCGTCTCTGTTTACACTACATACATCCGCCCGATCACCGAATATGCAACTCCGGTATGGCACCCTGGCCTTACAACGTCACAGTCTGACAGAATTGAGAGGATCCAGCGTCGAGCTGTGCGTATTATCCTGGGACCGGACTACTCCAACTATGCTGAAGCCTGCTCACAGCTCGGTCTATCTACTCTCCACGAGCGGCGTGAGGAACTGACTCTTAAGTTTGCCAGATCCTTGCTAACATCTGGTCACTACCGTCACCTGTTGCCACCTCACAGACAGACTATCACAAGCCGTCAAACTCGTTTTTCTAATAATTTAGAACTCCAGCGCTGTAGAACGGAGAGATATAGAAACAGTGCTGTCCCATATATGACGCGCTTGATTAACTACTAGTCTCATAATTGTTACCTGACTTTGATTTAGTTTATAGATCCTTGTGCTGCTACTATTTGTAATATAGTGATTTTAATATGTGATATTTCCACCTCTATTTTAAATATGATATGTCATAACTTTTATATGAATAATTGGCACGACTATATGTAACGAGTGATTTTAATCGTGATATCTCTACCTGTATTTTAAATATGTTATTATATCACTACCTGTTATATTAATGTTTACCAGTTCAATTCAGTGCGAGTTACTACTTACACTGCGAGACTGTAAATGTTTGTTGTGAAGCAACAATAATAAACCAATCTACTACTACATGTACTTTTCCTGAGGACTTTAGGCTGTGATTCCTCGTTTCAGGTCTAACTTATTGCCGAAAACAACCCGAAGACAACTGAAATCAACAGAATCCAAACCAAAACATCTAACAACACTTCTCCCAAAGCCCAAACAAAGCAGAACCAGCTGGAAACAACCGAAAACAACCTCCAAAACAACAGTAATGAATAGGAGACAAACTAAAATAATCAGTAACTAGAAAGGCTGACATTTGCAAATGTGGCATATTTCACTCCATCTCACTCTCTACCAATCTTTTGCAGAAATGGACCATCCCAAGTTACAGTATAATCTAACTCTGAAATGGTATTTTCTCAATTTGACCCCCTGCAAGACTGGACACCCGTGCAAAATGGAAACTTCCAAGTTACCCCTACCCAATCTCTACTGTGAATACTACCATCATACCAACTTCCAAGTCATTTTAAATTTATGTAATATACATGTTTGCCCTAAAAATGGTGAACAAAATCCTAAAATTAATAATCATAAAGTGGTGTATGGCAAAACTGTAATCTATGAATGAGGTCCTGTGGGCATGTGCCCTAGTCATTTTGCTTTTAATACCAGAGCATACATTTTAATATAAGGGAATACGAAAAAACACACATTTGAAAGCATATCAAATACACACTAAAAGGTATGCCCTGGTATTATATTGAATGAATGAAGACCTTTATCGTACATTTGTGTTCTACAGAACTAAGTACAGGTCGCATGGGTACAGAACATGAACATAAACATATACATTACAAATATATGAACATATAAGAGTGTAAATAAATGTCTAATTTCTATTCTTTTCGGCTTCATCTCGCTTAGTAGTGATTGTATGGATATATGCGGCTGTGAGATTACTTAGAGTAGGTTTATCAAAAGTTAAAAGGAATACAAATTTCTCTTTACTAGTCAAATAACTAAAGTGGGGAAATATACTTAATACATGGCTAAAAAATATGAGTCTATCTCTACTATACAAGGGGCAATCTATGGTGAAATGTATTTCATCTTCTATTCGGCCTAAACTGCAGAATTGACAGGTTCTTTGTTCTAGAGGAGTGCGGTTATGTCTTCCTGATTCGCACTGAAATTTTTCATGACTCTGACTCACGTCTAGCGTGACTGAATGACGCACGTCTAGCGTATGACGAGTTTAGCCCATCAGATCCGTATGAGGTGCGTATGATTTCCGTATGTCGTGTGCAACAATATTTTTTCTACCAGAGTATACCGGTCGGATTCCGTACTCACTCAACCACTGTCTCGGCTACATACAAGCAAGGCACGAAAACGTGATATTTATACAAAATTTCTCGCGTCTGGATATTTAACAAGTACGGAATCTGTACGCTATCTGTGCGCTTGTCATAAGTACAATGCGCTACCCGATCGCAGGATTGTCGATATTCATTCGTGCAAAACCTCATCATTCGCTGTAAGTTCGTTCGGTGTGCCATATGCAAGTACGCTATGTATTCGTCCAATAGAAATGTCAACACGCAATTCATGCGCACCGAGGATATACAAAAGTTCAGATTTACTTGCTTGTGACTGAATTTGTAAATTCAACTTGATAACATTGTGTGCGATATGAAACAGAGATTTCCTTAGATACAACAGTGTGCTAGCAAGGAGGTTGAATTAGCCTCGGTGCTACAGGACAAGGCGTAAATAAAACACATGGAATTGTATCAATCAGTAGGGTTTCAGCGCTAAACTTTGGAATAAGGGAATGATAATATAGATTATGAAACAGGTTTTATTTCCCGAGGGCTAATTGCAGGAACAGAAAAAAAACATTTGGTATAAAAATAGACAATTAGTACACATAGAACTACTGATAACTACTAGGAAACTACTTGTAAAAACTACTGGGTTTGACTTCTTTTTTTAAGACAGAGGAAGACAAAGGATCCCACTTTTTCTGTAATTTGTGGGTTTTTGGATGTTAAGAGGAGAGTAGTATCCTTGAATAATGTTTCATGTATGGATGATATCCTCACTCACTGGTGTCGGCCAGGTCTATGAAGTTTACCGACTCCCTCCATTTTGGTGACCTCAGTACTCTGGAGTCTACTAGGCAAATATGGCGGTCGTGCGAATGCAGACTGTTTTTAGGAGCAGAGGAGTTTAATAGAAATAGGAAGTTTATTGTAAAGTCATGTCCGAGGGCTAATTGCAAGAACATAGAACATGATTAACTCAGTAACAATAAAATAGTACTACTAAATGTACCAATATAATGCTATTTTTAATGTTGTAAAATTAGGTACTGAGCCATTCTGTTTGTTTGTACAGTTAAGTCATGTTCTTTTGAGACTGTCTGACAGCAAAGTATTTTTAGTATGGTTATTGTTGGGTTTGATTTCTTTTCTGTGTGCAGTTGAGTATGAATAGTCACCCAGAATAGCTGACACCACTCCTAAATTTGACCAATTAGGTCAATTTGTTTGTTTTCCCCTAGCCGTAAGAGAAGCCTGGTGTAGACTAACGGAAACCAGGGCGCGTGGCCAAAGCCACAGCCGACCCGGGGGTGCCTCAGGTCCGCCCGTGTGTGTTGCCCAAACGATGGCACCTCAGTTCACATGGCCATGTAACAAGTGCCGACTTATTTAGAGCGGGATTTCTCTGTTACACGCTGACAGACGACCCAGTTCAGCAACAAACATGAACGCACAAACAGAGGCGCTGTTTCATTGCCAATGTCGCAAATCGGCCACAATCATTACAAACTCGTTGCTCCTATGAAACAACGAATTCTGACTAAAACCAAGCCGAGTGAAATTCACTCGAGTCTGATTTTGTGGATTTTGCCAAAGCTTTTGAACCAGAGGTCAGTAGTAGCCTCAGATTCTTTTAGCAGAAAAAGATGTGTACCTATAGAGGCCATGGGGGCATTCAATGATCTTTGGCACAAATGCACAATTGCTGCTTGTGGTAATATACGAGTACATACAATATGAGCTGTATGCAACGTTAACCCAATATACAGTTGAAGAAACGCAGTCATCCCGAAAAAAATCCATTCTACAAGACATCGCTAGCGCTGCTTCAGTAAACTGTACGGACCTTATTTCTATACCCGGTGCTTTTTTTATCCGACACGAGTGCTTTTCGCACGTAAATAACGACATGGCCTTGGTAATTCTTGAAACAGAAATAGCCAACTGCGCGTTTGTATCGATGAAATGAAACTCACGTTCGGTTTGAATCTGAAATTTTCGTGAAGTTTTAGTACTGAAAAAAAAAACGAATGTTCCATCCATGCACCAACATGTAAACCTCGCCATCATCTGGTTCTGATGCTGAGGTAGCAACTGTTTGTCAACTAACTCAGGGTCAGCTATTGGTCAATTTGAACACTGTTTTCAGGTGACTGAAAAATGTTGCAACATATCTTTCGGAATTCTAGTTCTCTGTAATAAGACACGGTTGTTTGTCACTTCTAATTTTCAAACTTTTCTCGAGTATATCGCCAAGATAGCTTTGAGGTGGAGGACACTGTAGAAGTGTATGGGGAGAGAGGATGGAAGAAAGAGTGGGGTCGTGTGGTGTGTCAAAGGACAGAGCATTCGGCAAGGAACCAAGAGGTCCCGAGTTCGAATCCTGCCATGCCACCGATCTTGTGCTCTTCGGAAAGGCATTTGACACGAATTTCCTCACTTCACTCAGGAAAAAATGAGTATGTCTGGTGTCCGTTCATGCGTTAGAGGTGGCATAAAAATAATTTGAAAAAACAAGAGTGTGCCGTCGAAATTTCTTGTAAAAAAATTGGAATAGAAAGAGAAAAAAGAGGGAAGAAAGCGCCAGTTGGATGTTGATGTATGACTGAGCAAACCAGACAGACAGTCGTGGTGCGAGGGTGTGGCGGAAAGATTTCTTATCTATTTAGTTTGGTATGTTGGCGACAAAATAGGCACGGTTCTATCAATAGATTAAAGTCAGTGTCGACCTACAAAGTGAAGAATTCGGGGGTTGTTTCCGGCAAGTTTAGCCTTAACGACGAGGGAGTCAATTGTACGATAGAGTCTCGGATTCAGTAACTTGAGTTTGAAGTTTGAAATGATCCCGTTGTCCAGAAAACTTGACGAGGTCCTGTTGATGTAACTGGAGCTACAGAAAGTGTGTGCTCTGAGGACATTTGAACCTCGCCTGTTTGAGCAAAGCAGCCCTTTGCAAGAAAAAAAGATGCTTTTAAAACTGCCTCTTTCGTAGTTAAAAATAACTTGTTTTATTTCATTTTTCTAGAATGTAACCAGACATAGTTGTGCGTTTGGTTCTTCAGATATTCAGAGATTCTGAATGCATATAAAACGAAGGTGTGGAATTTCCTATGTGATATATTTGGCTACCATACGTTTAAAATACACAGTACCGGGCGCGTTACCTACTGACTCGCTTACCTAAACTTCCCGGATTGTCCTTCATAGAAATAGAAATTGTACCAGACTATCATGACTTATAACTATGTAAAAGTATGTATAACTATGTATAATTCAAGGCTAAATCGTCCCCTTCTGATTACCCTTTTTTTCTTCTAAATGACTTTTGAATAACGTGGGCAATTCACAATGTACAAGTAATACTCTATGGGGCAATGTTGCCTGTCCTGTACCGGTGCAAATGGCTAACAAATTTCCCCTACAATTCACCTCGAGCTAGTGAAGGTCACGGTTTTTGCCCTGTGTATGGTTATAAGTCGCTATAGGGTTCAGAAGTAAGCGCCTTTACTTACATGCCAGCAGAACTCCCCACATGAGCCCAGCAATGAACACGGGCCACTGCACCAGCTTCATCCTCACAGGAACTTCGCTTTCCCCGCTTGCAGAGTCGAACCTTATCCCACAACGGCGCCCAGGGCGCTGGAAAGTAGAATCGCCGACCCTGGAGTAACCTAACGCGTATAATGAAAAATGCCACAAGCATTCAAATCGACCGGCTTCGGCAAATATACATATATGGAATGTTTACCTTTCGGGAGGGCGGAGGCTAGGCGCAGAGTGTACCTGTACTGGCATTGTGGTCTGCCTCTGCTTTTATAAAGTCTTAGGGGTTAGCATTGAAGTCAATCCGCATTGCTAAGAAGGAAAACAACGCTGTGCTTTCATAGCTTCAGTTCGGTTTGTGTATGTGGGTTTGTGCTGGAATGTACTTGTGCAAGAAAATACCGCTACTGTCCAACATCTTGTAGGGGAATGAGGACGCCCCCGTCTCTTCTAGCGAGCAAATAAGCCTCTTAGTCGTCACAAACCAAGAATAGATTTGCACAGCTACATATCGGACTGTTACAAACAACGTCAACCACTCTACAGTAGTTCTGTGTCGGTGTAAAGATATGTACGAGAATTCTGGAATGACGTTATGTCTGTTTTTGACCAGAAATGGGTATTTCGGTTCAATTTCGAATCAATCTTGTCATTTGACTTCTCGTGTAGAGTTTGGACTGGGGTGTTTACCCGGGGAAACAGCCACCGAATAGCTGGCGAGCCGCGACGGGAGCCGAATTCTTGCCATGCCGCACAGATGGGCGTCAGGACGGCTCCCGGACCAGGAGGGAGGGAATTTAAACGAAAACGACGTTTCTGAAAATAAAGGGGGATCCGTTCCGCCTTGCAATTCTGTTATCAATTTGCCTTGTGTCAGCGTTTGCATCTTGGAATGTTTTCCTTTCGTCTGAGACGGTATTCAGGGGAGAGATGTCCCCACAGAACCAACATACAACTATAACAGCCACATTTTCACCCAATTGACCACGAAAATGTATCCAGATTATGACAAATTCAATTGAAACAGAACAGATAGATTTAACCCAAAATGTATTGTAGATAGCGGGGAATTGTCCTACTCTTAGGATAATGCTGATGGAACAAAATTAAGATAAAACTGATGAATTCTTGGAATGTTTTGAGGCTATTATTGCTCAGTTTTTGCAAACTGTACTGTTAATTGGACAGTTGGTGGTGAATTGGTATAATAGGGCATGTCTCTCACGGTAATTTTCAAAGGAGCAAAATGTTTCTCATATGCGTTTATTCTCAATGTATAGGACATATTTCTATATTATTAGTTTATCAAAAACTGTAACTTGTAGTTGAAACTTATGCTACCTTTTCTAATCAAGTGAAATGGGACCAAATGGATAAAAACGCGGTACTTACTAGTATTATAAACATATTTGCAAATTTTGCAAGCGCATCCCTAGTATGACCCTTCGGAAAGGCACTTAACACCTATTTCTGACTTGACAGGTGAAAATGGGTACCTAGGACGTATTTTTCAGATATGACGTAAAGCAGGATTTCCTGTGTTTAAGGAGAGCCACGCCTCGAGCACGTTAAAGAACCCACCACACTTATCAAAAAGAGTAGGGAACCTTCATGGTGTGAGTAGTTCAAACCCTACAGTCTGGTCTCAGGGTTGACATCTTGAAAAGGTGATAGTCACCTGTTATGTCAATTCGTCCACATGTGTTGTAAATATAAATAGATAGATTTATATGTACTTATATCTCACATCTTGCATTAAACAAGTACCGGCATGCGACAGGACTGATAAGTAGCGTATGCACATGTACAGCAAAACATAACCCCACTAGATCTTTACGAATTCAAGATCTTGTGGGCTTTACGTACATACTGACTTGTTATATGTTTAGTTGCCCAACAAACTGGAAACTGGGACTCAACTTCTTCAGTTATACAGTACTTACTTAGGATCACCATGTAAGAAAGGACGACACTACTATCGCTCTAGGCTACATTTATTGAACTACTCTATTGTCAAACATTATATCTATAACCAAAATGGCCATACAGGCCCGCATACTAGTATACAGCCTCCGTGAAATCTTTCTGATGATTAGTTATTGCCTCAGTTGTTGTAGTTAGTTGTTTGGTGTGAAAATCAGTTATCCATTCTCAAGTTCTGAGTCGTAATCTGAACCGTTAGGCCACAGTAAGTAATTTCTATGGATGACATCAGCGCGCGCATTAAAATGTAACTTTCGCCTGATTTGGGGGAAAAAAAGAAATTTTGTTGCCCTCTGACAGAGGTCAACATGCCGAAAATGGGAAAATATGTCTGTTACCACGCCGGAATGTGGAGACGACATTGCAAGGCTCTGATTTAATGTTTTGTCTTTTACTTTGATGCAGTGATGTATTTTATTCCTTTTATATATGATGATGGCCGTTATGTTCCCACTGAATCAAACCAATTGTACAATGATTGAAAACTTTTAATTTTTCAAAGCTTGTTTCAGTGAGAAATGGATGTTGTAATAGTTGGCAGTAAACTTAGCAAGATATAGGTATCATTTCTTGTTTAACAAGGTTTTTGGAACGCCTTGTTTTTTTCGCCCTCTCGCATTAGATTTGGAGTCTGCGGAGGATGTCATCCATAAAATTTACTTGCTTTGGCCTTATGCCAAGAGACAGAGCATTTGATTGCAGGCGTGTTTTGGAGTTAAAGGCACTCGCATGCAATTTCAGGACTGGATGAGGAAATCTGTCTGATAATAACATTATCTGCCATTTTGTAGCACATTTTCGTCATCATTCCATACTTGAAGTGTTTAAAATAGCTGCAAAACATGCCAAGGCCATGGGAGTAGTCTGTCAATTTTTGGTACCACCATAAAAATAGCCAGACGTAGCCTACTGCAGGGAATAAGCAACTGTTTCCCGTCAGCGACATCGCATTTTGCTTCACATATACACATGTATCAGTATGTTCTTTGATAGAATAATCATTGATTAAACCAGAAATTAACTTTTGAAATCCAGTTTCATTCCCCGGAAATCGCATTGGGTGCAAAGTTTTTAAATGAACGATAGGTGGAACATAGGTTAATTCCTTAGGTAGACGATGTAGAGGGGTTCATATACATGTGGTGCAGTGCCTGGATTACACGAGCCAGCGCAGGCCAGTATTCACGTGGATTTACCCTTCAAATCGCATGTTGCTACAGAGGTTTTCACCCGCCCCTTCTAATTCCCCTGAATTATGAAGCTACACTCCAAGCAGAGGTTTGGGCTTTGGTTTAATTTCTTTTTTGCATTGGTATTTTTTTTTACTTTTGGGTTGGCGTAAAAAAAGACACCAGTGCAAAAGGCCCGATAAACAAGCATAAAAACACGCCAAAAATAAGACAAAGCCCAAGCCTCTGCTTGAAGAGTATGGTTGAGAGATGGACCATTCATTCATCTAATAGTATGTGGTCACATATCAGTAGTCGGAAACCATACGTTACATCTCAGCACCACGCTGTTGTGTTGTGTTGTTTGTTTGGTGTCTTTTGATGTGTACTGTTCGCTTTGTGGTGGGTGCAGTGCATTGTGTACGAGTGAGGTGCGATATGGTATGGTGTGGTGAAATATGGTGCGGTGTCTGTAAATGTTTGTACTAGCTTTGTTGTGTGCTACGCGCTGCTAGCCTGAAACCCAGTCGTGTCAGCCATGAGGGCAGCTCACAAAAATTGTCGTTGGCGGCAAATTTTTGGGAGCGAACGTATAGTTTGATTTCAGGCTAACGCGGTGGTGTGTTTGTGTTTGTTTGTTTGTTTGTTTGTGTGAGTAGTGGTAAAATGTGTGCTGTGGTGCATTGTGTTGTGCCTGGTGTGGTGTGTAGGGTGTTATCTTGTTGTAGCGTGATTAATTAATCTACTTTTGATGAATTTTGTGGTTTTGATATAAGGTGTAGTGTTGTGTTCTGTAGTGAGTTGTGTGACTTGGTGTGGCGTGGCGTATATATGGTTTGTAATGTTGTGTGATGTGGTGTGTAGTGTTGTGTGATATGGTGTGTAGTGTTGTGTGACGTGGTGTGTTTTTCTGATGTGGTGTGTAGTGTTGTGTGATGTGGTGTGTAGTGTTGTGTGATGTGATGTGGTGTAATGTGGTGTGTAGTGTTGTGTGATGTGGTGTGTAGTGCTGTGCGATGCAGTGTGTGATGTGGTGTGTGAAGTGGTGTGTAGTGTTGTGTGATATGGAGTGTTGTGTGATGTGTAGTGAATGTGTGATATGGTGTGTAGTGTTGTGTAATGTGGTCTGTAATGTTGTGTGATATGGTGTGTAGTGTTGTGTGATATGGTGTGTAGTGTAGTGTTGTGTTGTGTGATGTGGTGTGTAGTGTTGTGTGATATTGTGTGTAGTGTTGTGTGATATGGTGTGTAATGTTGTGTGATATGGTGTGTAGTGTTGCATGCTGCCGTGTGTTATATGTGTTGTGTAATGTGCGACGTGTGTCATGTTTTGTTGTGTAGTGGTGTGTGTGTGTGATGTAGTGTGGCGTGTTGTGTGTGTGTGTGTGTGTGATGTGGTGTGGAGTGTTGTGTGTGTGTATGTGTGTGTGTTGCGAGGTGATGCACTCACCGTAACTTTTTATCAATCAAAGCATACCCCTACAGAAACTTTAGCAGAGTAGATATCCTTGTTAGCAGTGGAAAGACGTGTCTAGACAGCCGCCGAAAGTACGCAGCCTGTTTCCTGATGAAGCAGTAGTAGGTGACCTAACTGTTAAGCAAACACGCGCATGTGGTAGGCCATACGTTTTCCTGTAGAGCTGCAGCAATACGGCAATGTTTGGTTACAACACACCGAGCGGTGCCCGTTTCCCCCGCAGACGACTCGTCACTCACAAGTAAGTGAGATATATGGCCAGGAGGTCAGCACTTGGTCAAACTAACTAGGCAGCGTTTCATCGCTCATTTCATCGGAGAACTTACATTTCTACTGGTTTGCTAACATTATTCCTCACTTGTGGGTACACCCCTGACACAAGAAGCCATCCCGATTCTTTTTTTTTATTGGCTAATCATCTGTTATTCAACTTTGACCTTGTACGCTATTGAATGATGCACAGCAATTTGTGAGGAAAGTCAAATTTTTATTTTTATTCCAATTTCATGATGTGGACGTTGCA